CTCTCTTGGTTTGCCCCCACAAAACAGGCAAATTCAGCTGCCATCCTAACTGAAAAATTCAAAAGACTAAGGACTGACCTCAAGAAATGGCATACATGCCTATCAAGGTTAAAGCTTCTGATGAAAGTTTGTAATGCGGTTATCCTTGCTTTTGATAATTTGGAAGAGCAAAGACCCCTATCTAGGCCAGAATTCAACTTCAGAAAAATTGTCAAATTGCATCTGGAGGAACTTTTACATCTTCAGTTTATTTACTAGAAGCAAAGATGCACCATCAGATGGATTAAGGTGGGTGATGAGAACTCTAAGTTCTTTCAAGCAATGGCAACGGAGAGCTTTAGAAGGAATGCAATTTCCATCCTAGTTAATGATGATGGTTTGCCAGTGTCCTCTCACAATGACATGGTTGGGCTTCTTTGGTCCTCATATAAAGATAGAATGGGAATATCTTGTGGGGTTGATATGATGTTTGATCTGGAAGATTTGATTTAGCCCGTCCCTGGGAAAATCTTTGGAAGCTTGGCCAATGGTCTGTAAGGGATAAAGGAGGCATGGGTATTATCAACCTTGCAGTTCAAAACAAAGCCTTGCTTACTAAACATCTTCACAAGTTTTACAATAAGGCTAATATACCTTGGGTCTCTCTGATTTGGGACACTTATATAATGGAGTGGTTCCCCATGCAACTGTGCAGTGTGGCTCTTCATGGTGGAGGGACATCATGAAGTTAAATGAGATCCATAGATCACATTCTGTCATCACAATCAATGATGGAAATAGTTCTCTTTTCTGGCATGATACTTGGAACTTAAATGGATGTCATATACTTATCAAGGAGAGGTTCCCAAGGCTGTTCTCATTTGCACTTGATGATAAAATTTCAGTCAAAGATTTCATTGAAGATCTTGATATTTCCACCTATTTTCAACTGCCCCTATCTCATGAAGCAATGGATGAGCTGGTATCTCTTAATACTGCTTTACAAGGCTTGCAGAGGGATCCCCATGAACCTGACTACTGGTCTTGGAGACCTAGTAAAGGTATTTACACTCCCAAAAGCTATTATACGTTGGTGCATGCAACTTTACCTCACAATGACGCTTGTAAATGGATCTGGAAGAGCATGTGTACTATGAAAATCAAGGTCTTTGCATGGTTGCTACTGAATGATAGGCTCAACACGAGAGATATGCTTCTTAGAAGGCATTGGAGGTCTGAGGAAGATGACAATTTATGCCCCATGTGTGTGGCTCGGTTACATGAAGATAGAGATCATCTTTTCTTCAAGTGCATGTTCAGTAACAAGGTATGGAACTATCTGCAGATCAAATGGTATGCGGGGTTATCTACCAGAGAATGTATTTTGGCTGCTAAGAGGGGTTTTCAAAAACCTTTTTTCTTTGAAGTAGTCTACCTCGCCGCATGGAGTATCTGGACTACGAGGAATGATAAAATCTTCAGGCACATCAGACCAACTTTTGGTGGATGGAAGGCCAAGTTTATCCATGACATCACCTTGCACTCCCACAGGATGAAGGACTCAATCAAGCCTCTCCTGCTTCAATGGATCAATGCCTTGCCATGATCTATGAACCTTGGTTGTTTCTTGTATATTTGTAAATATCTTGTTGTAAATTGATAGGTAGGTCCTCTAACACCTAGCTAGACTTTACTTACTGTCCTTTTCTTTTCTGTAATACTTGGTGCCTTGTTTATGCTTTAATAAATGGCTGTGGAGCTTTCACCTCACATTGTTCAGTCAAAAAAAATTTGTCTATATTTAACAATCTTAAATTATTTCAATGCATACAAAAGAATTTCTGACATATTCTTTGATTATTAGTGTGCATAAAGTCAAAACCACCATTGCCAAAGGTTTAGAAGAATGACAAGCTTGGACCTTATCGTGTTGACTTCCTGATAGTATGTACAATGTCATATCGGCTGTGATGATGAAGCGGCAACAACAGCCTGCCTTTGGCTTCTGTTGGAGATTGAATTTGTTTAGCTCCTTGGGAACCTGTTTGTAATTTCCTTTTTTGATATTTTTTATTGTTTGAAGTTTTTAGTATAAACTCAGGGTCTTATTTAAAAAACTATACCTTTAACGGGAAAAGGTATGGAAGAACAGATGAGATACATTTCTTCCGGAAGTACTCTATTTTTTTAGAACACAAACTGCTCTATTTAGATGAAGATGATACAATTGCATTTTTACATAACGGACTTTGCAAGACAGAAAAACAATAATTCCTAACACCGAGGAGTCGTCGTTGATGAGAACCAGCCACACAGAGAAAGAGCATCATTGCAGCATGGAACCATGTGCGCTGCCACGAGGACTCCACCAAAGGAATCACCCTTGAGGTTTTTGAAGCCGCTTGAGCCACCCGGGATGAACGGACCTTGGTCGTGACGGCAAAGTCCTCGAATCAGTGGGATCTCCATTAACGAATAAAGAAACCGTTATCAACAACCACTGGGAAGAAAGAAGAGCATTAACCATCTTGAATGAACCACGCAGCACCAACTGTCAATATCTGAAAAGAGCAAAAATAAAATAAAATCTGAAGACACAAACTAACATAGGCCCTTCACCGGCGCCGAAACGTTGATGTTAGGGGTTATTCCGACTCGCCATCGCCGCCACCGCATTGTAGATGTGTCATCGAAAAAACAAAAACCTAAAAAGAAGAAGAAACAAAATGAACGGACATGTCTCCATTCATCTTGTTGCTGCCAGACGGGGAAGAGAGGGGGGGGGGGCGATGTGACGGCCTGGGGAAGAGCTCTGACGACGGAGGCTAGGGTTGACTCCCGGTAGCACTCGCGATGCACTGGACGGGCTAGACACACACAGCAGACCCAATCTTTATAAGATTCTTTGTAGGTCTAGCATTATTGAACCAAAAATGCTACACCTACGTAAGACATTACGAAGCTTTACGTAAATCCCTTGCACGCTAATTAAACTGCCCCCCCCCCCCTGATTTTCAGGGTGGGCCTGCGCCCCCAAGTAATACCCAATATAAAACTGTCACGTCTGATTTTACGTAAGGTACGCAAAGATATTTACTTAGGTGTAGCTTTACTCTTATCGAACCGAGCAATGCTACACCTACGTAGCAATCTATACCTAATTAACGTAACAGCTTACGTGGCCTTTTTTGGTTAGAGGAAATCAGGGGAGGGGGCCCCACCCGTTGAAATCAGGGGGCGGTGAAAGGATTAGTTAGGCTGGTCACAATGGGCAAGAACATAAGCTAGTAACTTCACACATCCCTAGACTATGTTACTACCTCCATAGTGGGTAGGAACATCTATGTAGTGTCATGCAATGATGTATTTATTAGGTTATAGACTCATTGTTTCTTGGAATGTGTGATGTTCCGGTAACTTAGCTAGTTACCACAAGCACCTCTCTCTTCATTAAATACGTGCCACATAAGCAAAGTTGTATTGAAGTGTGTGATGTTACTCCTAAGTTCCTCCCCACTGTGACCAGCCTTAGGGAGGTTTCGTAACATTACGTAGGCTTTTACGTAGGTGTAGCATTTTTATATTGAACCCACCTCATGATTGCAGCCCGTGGCCGTCATACAGCGCGATACGCGCGGCAGGGTTTTACCCCTCCCCTCGAAATGGCAAAAGCCGGCGGGACACAGAAAACGGCATACATGCATGCACGCGCCCTTCCCTATGCAGCAGCAAGCAGGCGCAAGGTGTACTCACGCGTCTGCTCTCCAATCATTCGCCCGTCCCTCCGGGACCCCTCCCCTCTCCCCTCCCTCCGTCTCTCTCCTCCTCCTCCTCCACATCCCTCTCTCCCCTTCTTCTATCCCTTTCTCCCTCCCCCGTCTCTGTCCGCGGGAATCCACTTCTCTTCAGCCCACAGCCACAATGTTGCGCGGCTGCTTAAAAGCCACTGCGGGTGCCAAGCACAGGTTCCCCCGCTACCCGCCCGCTCTTCTCCTTCCTCCCCCTCACTAGCCTCTCCTCCCTCCAAGCCAAGAAGAGAGCCGCGGCCCGCTGACTGAGCATCCTCCCGGAGAAGCTTCCTTAGCCGGTGCTGGATCTTGCAGCCAGACTGGTTAGTTCTTGTTCTTCCATGGCTGCTGGCTCAGTTCCCCCCTCTGCTTTCTCATTACGGTTCTCCAAAATCCGCGTCCCTAATGCGTGTTTTCCAGTCTCTTCTGAAACCTGATGTGGATTTCACCATATCCACTGGTCTTAACGGCATAATCCTAGTTTTTATACTGCTTGTAAAGCTTCCAGGTCTTTGTAAATCACTTTTCTGAACCTCTTCGCTTTTCCTATAAAATACTACCTCTTCTCAGCATCTTAACAGAAAAATAAAATATATTTTAAAATGATACTCTATTGCTAGTGCTCTGTAGACTTGATTGATGAGTGGATTAAAAGAACGAATAAACAAATCCCTTTTGTGAAGCCTTTTCACTGTGTTAGCTGGTTGCTAGCTGCTCCTCTGCATGTGCTGCAGGCAGGTTTACATGACCGGTAGGTTTCCTGCAGGCAGGCTCCCCGTACTGCATCTACCTTTCCTTTTTTTTCCCATCATTGGCCTCCCTGTTCCTCACACTGCATAGCCCAGCTGCTTTTTTTATACATATTTTTGGCAATTTTATATCTGAGATTTCCTTTGCTACCAGAAGTTCTTTTTTTTTTTTAGAACTATCGGAGGTTCAAAACATTATTATTTCCATAGTTGGTTCTGTCTGGCATCGCACATGCCCTGCTTGCTTCATATGTAGCCAAATCAGGCTATGCTGCAGGATCCTTGGCAAGAGGCACATTTTTCTATCGAGCAGTCTCTTCTCGTTGCCAATCAAATTTAAAATACCATGCCGCATGCACATGAAGCAAGGTTTCTCAGCTGATTTCGTTGTTTGATTCTTGCCATCTCCTCTGTTTGCTTCGGCATGCAGCGTGCACTCTGCGGTGAAGTGAATCGCCGGTCGATGCTTGTGATGATCTGAGCCATGAGCCAATTCGTGCCAGATTGGGGAAACATGGGCGACATCTCCAGGCCACTCGGGTTTGCTCTTGAATCTTGATCGCTTGATGCAATGGAGTTTGTGGTGTCATATCTGCGTTACAGGCTAGTACTGGTTACTGACCTTTTTGTGCTTAATTTCGTGGCTGCAGGGAAGACGATGACCTCATGGAGCTGCTGTGGTGCAACGGCAATGTCGTCATGCAGAGCCAGGGTCATCGGAAGCTGCCGCCGAGGCCTGAGAAGGTTCCGGCGCCGCCGGTGGTGCAAGAAGACGAGGCCGGCCTGTGGTTCCCGTTCGCCCTCGCTGACTCGCTCGACAAGGACATCTTCCAGGACCTCTTCTGCGAAGAACCACCGGGGGCGGCCGGCGTCGACGGCTCCAGCAGGCAGCAATCGATGAGCCTGGCCGACTGCGGCGACAACGCCGGCGGCTTCCAGTCAGACCTCGTCCAGGCTCGCGCCGGGAAGGCAGCGATGGAGGAGGGCGCGTCGTCGACGCTGAGCGCGATGGGGGCGAGCTTCTGCGGGAGCAACCAGGTGCAGGTGCAGGGCGCGGTGAGCGACCACGGGCGCGCCGGCCACGCCACTGCCTATGGCGACGGCGGAGCGGGCAGCGCTCTGCCCTCGGCGGTGGGGAGCGTAAATGCAAACGCCAGAGGCAGGGGCCACGAGGCCACCGTGGCCTCCTCGTCGGGGCGGTCCAACTACAGCTTCGGCGTCACCGCCACTACCACCACCACCACCGGCACCGAGCCGACGAGCACGAGCAACCGGAGCAGCAAGAGCAAGCGGGGGCTCGACACGGAGGACTCGGAGAGCCCCAGCGAGGACGCCGAGTCAGAGTCCTTGGTGCTGGAGCGCAAGCCGCCCCAGAAGCTCACGACGGCGCGGAGGAGCCGCGCCGCCGAGGTGCACAACCTCTCCGAGAGGGTGCGTTGCGTCATTAATTTCTTCTTGTGCGATCAATGGTCAATTGTTCATTCCGATCAAAAAAAAAATGGTCAATTGTTCATTACAACATCTCTGGCGCTGACTCTGGCGGTTGCAGAGGAGACGAGACAGGATCAACGAGAAGATGCGAGCCCTGCAAGAGCTCATACCCCACTGCAACAAGGTGACCAAATTTCTTTGCTCGATCAGCCAACGTACGTACCAGTTTAGTTTTACTGATTAATCTGCTCGATTTGTGGGTTTTGTGATGGGCGGCATGCAGACTGACAAGGCGTCGATGCTGGACGAGGCGATCGAGTACCTGAAGACGCTGCAGATGCAGGTGCAGATGATGTGGATGGGCAGCGGCATGGCGCCGCCGGCGGTGATGTTCCCGGGCATGCAGATGCACCAGTACCTGCCGCAGATGGGCCCGTCCATGGCGCGGATGCCCTTCATGGCGCCGCCGCAGCAGGGCCACGGCGTGAGCCTGCCGGAGCAGTACGCGCACTTCCTCGGCGTCAACCCCCACCACCACCTGCAGCCGCCGGCCCACCACCACCAGGTTCCGTCCGTCCGCCCGGCAACCGCCAAAACCGTATCCATTTCCAACGCCCCCGCCGTCTTTTCCACCCTCCCTAACACGTAAGATGGACGTTTCTTCCGGCAGCATTTCGCGCAGGGGCTGGGCTACTACCCGCTAGGGGCGAAGGCCCTGCAGCAAAGTCCGGCGCTCCACCACGTGTCCAATGGCAACGCCGGCGGTGGCACGCCTGCCGCTACCGCCAACGCCACGCCGGGGAACGCGATACACCCAAACAAAAGATGAGGTATGCTTGTTTCTCTTCCCTTCTCCAGGCAAGGTGCTCGACAGCTGGAAACTACTTTTTTTCTTTTTTTTTCTTTTTCGGGCAAGAGAAGCTTCGGAAGCCCTTGGGAAGCTTGGACTAGGAAGCCTGTTTGGTTCACTTCTTTTGTCAAGTTTCGTTGCTTAGTCAGTTGTTAATATATATAGTACGCACATGGGATCAAAAATCACGTGTTCACTAACATCAAATAATTTCAGCACCCACAAACTTATAAGCTTGCAATTAATCATTTTTTTCCTACTATACGAAATGAAAGGTCGCAGCTACACGCGGCCCCACCGCATCTCCCGTCGACCACCGCCGACCGTCTCTCCTCTCTCACCAATTTTCTTCCTCTGCGCCCGGCGCTCACTGCTACTGCCATTGCGACCAGATCCGCCGCTAGATCATGGAAGCATTAATCTCATCGTCCTCGTCTTCCACTTCACGCCGCTCATCACAACATATCGACGCAATTGGAATTTCACGCCTTAAGAGTATCTCTGGCCCTGCCCCTAAATTTTAACTCAAAGAAGTCCTCAAAATTAAATTCCTCAATTGTAGAAAGTATGAAAGTGCTCATCTAACCCTTTTCCTCCGTGGAAGCCTTTCTTCTTCTTTCCTTAATTCCCCCTTCCTTTGTGAGGGGTTAATTCCCCTTCTTTCTTTCTCACATCAAGCACGGATATGGCAATGTCTATTCTTGGGAGGCATCCACCACGCTGCGGAGCGATCTCGCCTCAAAGAGCACCACCCGCACCACGCCGGAGTGAGCCGGTGCCGCATTTGGTTCGGGGCTACGGCATGCAGTCTAAGGCATGGTCTTGGGTTTACACGGCCAACCACAACTTCTGCCGGTAGATAATGTAAAAACTCACCAAGAAAAACAATGGGGTCTCCTATGTGCCCCCGTGACTGCACAACATGGAATTCGAATAAGTTGGCAAAACATGGTCTCCATCATCTTAACAGACTTCTTTCATTTTGATATCTTGTTTTCAGATATCTTGTTGCTGAAACTTTGCAGGAAAATCAAACCTTTGATAATCTTTGATCCCTGAAAATTTCAGAATTTTTTGATTGTTTTCCATTTTTTTATGAATTTATTGTTCATGAGGGTGTAGGGGCACCCGGGAGCTGTTAGACATTTCTCTATGTTCGAGTGTTATCATCATATGAAAACTACACCTCAACTGGCAATTACCGAGTGGTTCTGCATGTCCGTAGTGCCAACAAAATCCCGATTATAATAGGCGACGAAATATCTGAAAACAAGATAAGCTTCGGAGCATGGCGCGAGAATCCGTCATTTTCGGACAGTTTTTCCCATATGCCAAGAATTAGGTGTCTCTAGCAAACTCATGTAGGTACGTGCAGCTAACCTAGCCATGTCAATGGTTTGTACCATTCTTAATTTGTCGCCATCAGAATACTTTTCAATGGTCACACCACGTACACATCTCTTGTGTCTTCATCTCTAGATACATGTCTTCTTTTTTCGCGGTAGCGGTCACAAGCACCCCAAATAATTCAAAAACAAAACGAGTTTCATGGTCATGGGAGCATATGATTCATTATCCTGATTTTTCTTCTCACATGTGTATAACAGGGTAATTACAAAAAAAAGTTAAGAGGAGCAATAAAAAGGAAAGGAGCTGCAGCGTCACAGCAACAATATACATGGAGAAGAGGAAACGCCGACGCGAATCAAGCGGTTGGCGTCTTCTTCCATCTTCTGCCCCCTATGCGATCCCGGCAGGAAAATTGTAGCAAAACGCGCAGATCTCTTTTTTTACATTTTTGCTGGGAAATCGTCCGAATGTCTAGTCTAGCTAACTGATTATATTGTTAATATAATGTTTTGGGTTTTACTCCTGATACTACCTGGGGTTTTTTTTTTTGCGGGTAAATACTACCTGGGGTTGTTGCCTATTGATTGGGCCTGCACCCTGCTTGTACTAATATTGAACTTCCATTTCTGTTCTCTTTTGTAAGTCAATCTGTTCAGCATCAATGTTGGGCTTTTCTTGGCACAGTTTTCAATAACAAATAACACAGGGGATGAAAGACAAAGAAAGAGATCGGGTTATTTATCATCGGAAAAAAAGGAAGTCATCCATGGATCATTACGAGGGTTTTACGGGGTGATTTTTACTTGGCAGGTTGTGATTGGATTAACGGAAAGGTGTGGCTAGTCGACTAAGATTTAACCAAGTCTTAATCAAGTGACATAATATAAGGGGGGGCAGCCCCAGTGCATGTAGCTCCTGCTTGCGCAGGGTCTGGGGAAGGGTACGACCACTTTGGGTCTATTGTACGCAGCCTTTCCCTACATTTCTGCAAGAGGCTGTTTCCAGGACTTGAACCCGTGACCTCATGGTCACTAGGCAGCAGCTTTACCACTGCGCCAAGGCTCCCCTTCAATCAAGTGACATAATATGCAAGAGAAAAATTTAAAAAAATATTTTACACGGACCTTAGTGTAGGATCTCACGGATATAGCATCGATTGAGACTTAATGACGACCCAGTGGACTAAGACTTAGCAAGACTGTTAAGGGAAGGCATGACACTTTCCATTACGGTCCCAGGAGGCCAGGACGATGCTATATGCAACAGACTCCAATGATTTGGCGTGATACATCGATGGACGTTATGTGACTTTGTCTGAAAATCATGCAAAATGGATCGTGTGCATAGCAGCACACTTTTTTTTCAACAAAAAGAATATATTAATATCACGAAGATACTAATTACACCCGGCTTCGGAAACAACACAACGTCGTAAAGACATTAGGGATGCACAGCCAAAAGATGATAATA